TGAGCTATGAGGGAAGATTGAAAACACTGGGTGTGTTTAGTCTGGAGCAGAGAAGGCTGAGAGGGGACATGAGAACAGTTTTCAAGCATGTAAAAGGTTGTTACAAGGAGGAGGGAGAACAATTGTTCTTGTTAACCTCTGAGGACAGGACAAGAAGCGAGGGGCTTAAATTGCAGCAAGGGAGGTCTAGGTTGGACATTAGGAAAAACTTCCTGTCAGGGTGGTTAAGCACTGGAATAAATTGCCCAGGGAGGTGGTGGAATCTCCATCATTGGGGATGTTTAAGAGCAGGTTGGACAAACCCCCGTCAGGGATGGGCCAGATAATACTTAGTCCTGCCACGAGTGAGGGGACTGGACTAGACACCTCGCTTAGTTTGTGTTTTGTTTATTGGCCGGGTAATCTGCTTTGATCGGTTTGCTACCACTTAGCATCACTTACAATCGTCTTTTGTAGTTAATAAACTTGTTTAATGTTTCTCTTTCCCAGCGTGGTTTGAGTGACAGGTCTGGACAAATCTTTGCGTCTCTTTCCCCCGTCGAGGGGGAAGCGAATCCATTAATGGTACAGACCCCATGCGGTGCAGGACGGGCTAGTCTGGGGGTGGGGGGCAGGGCTGGGGAGCCGGGAAATCAGCCCCTTGTCCAGGAGTGGCTTAGGTGAAGCACTCAGTTGGGCACGTGGCGCCACTTGCTGTCGCATTGGGGGATAACAGAGGGGGGCTGGAGGTGGGCAGAGGTGGCTGGGGGAAGGCAGAGGGTGGCCGGGGGAGGGCAAAGGGGGGTTGGGGGGCAGGGCAGAGGGGGGCTGGAGGCGGGCAGAGAGGGGCTGGGGGAAGGCGGCCGGGGGAGGGCAGAGAGGGGTTGGGGGGCAGGGCAGCCAAACCTGCAGCAGGGCGAGGACCCAGATGTGGCGGATCCGGACGCAGTGCAGGGAGGACCGGGATACAAACACTCCGGCCTGGTAGAGCATCTGGTACCTGCACCAGGGAGTGCGGGGGGTCAGTATTGGGGGGCCCACGAGTCTCTCCCAGGGATCTTGGTGACCGCAATCCTCCCCACCCCATGGGACTCAACCCCAGCCCCCAGGAACCCTGCTCCGTGGGCAGGGGTGTCCAGGCCCTGGGAACTTGCGGCAGGACGGGAGGGTCCCTGGGGGGGGTCTCACCAGCGATATTGCTGAGCGTGTGTCAGAGCCGAGTCCCGGAAGTACAGCAGCTCAAACTGGGGGGAAACGGGGGGGTGGGGGTTAGTGATACAGATATGACCCCCTCAACACACACCAGCAACACTCCCCTCTGCCCTGGCCCCTCCCCCCCAGTACCCCTCACCCGCCCAGGCACCTCGCTCTGCACCCCAAGCCCCCCATGCCAACACACAACTCCCCACAGCCCCCCACTGCCAGCTCCCCTTGTTCCACAGCCCCCCAGTGTCCTGTCCAGCACCCCCCAAAGCAACCCCGTGTGACACCCTGTACCCCATGGTCACCACTTTTATATGGTTATGATATATTTTGTACAAAGGATGCCTTGTAAGGTATATTTTGGAAACTCATAATCTGCTGAACATCATTGTCCAGCTGAAATGTGCATACCAACATTGTATGTGGTGCTGAGATCTTGCTTTAGGATTGTTACCCAGAACTACAGCGTATTTCAGTAATGCCCCCAGACAAAGGTGCACTGGCACAATAACTAGGTGTTAAAAGTCCATCACTGCTGGGATGACATGGGATTTTTCAGTGTATTTTGTGTGCCTCAGTTTCCCCCAATGTGCTGCATTATTAAGGGGGCGGGAGGGTGTTTTTTTGGCAGAAGAATCCAGAGATCCAGGTGGGGCCTGGGCCCAGACAATGGGCAGGCGATTTGCGGGAAGCCAGCTAGTTTGAGCAGCTGGAGAACACAGAGAGTGTGGAGGAGACCAGACTGAGGCGGGCCTGGGGGCGGGGGCTGCTGGAGAGACGCATCTGGACTGGGGAGAAGGGGGGGGGCTCTGCAGGTGGCACTCAGACGGGCTTTGATGTGACCTGTCCGTTCGTCCAGGCACCCCCCTGCAGTTCCCCCCCGGCTGAGAGGCACGGCACTCTCCAGAGGTCGGGGGGGGCACACGTCTCCCGCCGGCGTTGGAGCCGAGGGGACTCGCTGCAGGAGGCAGTGGTGCTGAAGGCTCCAAGGTGCAGGGAAAGCCCAGGGGTTACCCCAGCGAGGGGTGGACACTGAGGGGTCCCCCCAGGGTCCGGTACAGAACCTCAGAGAACAGCGGCCACAGACCCCCCAGGGCAGAGACCCCTCCAGCACCGGGTCAGAGCGTCGGGGGGACGGACACGCCCACGGGCGACTGACCGGAGCCAGCGCCGGGTGCTGGGGCCGCCCGTAGCGACGCACGGCTTGGGGGCCAGGGAGCGGCGCAGGCCCCCCCACTCACCAGGCCCTGGTTGATGAAATACTCGGCGAAGTAGACGAGCGCCAGGGGCAGCAGGTATTTCAGGAGACCCTGCGGGGAGAGGGGGGGGAGAGGTGCACAAGCAGCCAGACGGGCGCGCTGCAGGGGGGAG